ATATATATATATATATATATATATATACATTCATGCCCCAGAGAAGGAACAGTTAGGAGAGATGACTTTCTAACTTAGTCGAAAGTTACTCACCTAATAAGCTCCAAAGGCCTTGCTCCTTTTTTCTTGCCACTTCCTCCTGAACTTTGCACAGCATATGTTCAACGCGCAGAACCGCCTCAATGAGGTCAGCCTGGGCTCCTTTAATCTCTAACCATGCCTCTCCCGGTCTGATAATCTCTGAGATGGAGACATTTGAGGTTTTCTGAAGCTGAGACAAAAGGTCATGTTCCTCTTTCCCAAGGTACAGAATATGATTATTCTTAATGATGTGCTGGTCCCGGAGGGTCAGTATTCTTTGGATCCATGCCTTGGCCTCACACATCTCTTCCTTGTTGCATAGTGTCAAGTTGATGACGGGAGATCTAGCTTCAAGTCCATTTTCTCTTTTCTCCTCTCTGGTCAACTGAGGGACTGAAATGACTACCATAAGCAACCACAGAAGGCTAGTGGGCTTTAAAACAGTGCAGAACAATACACCATGGCCAGTGTTTACCCCTATGCTATTGTCACCATTGTCAGAAGCAGCAGCTCCAATTAGGTACCTATCTCTGAAAGCTGGGCTGAGTATAAAGGAAATCTACATATGTAGTGTAAACACATCTTTACACCAAAATGTAAGCCTCCTTGGGAACACAGATTTTATCTTGTAACAGGCTGGCTTTACCATATCTTGCCTCTGCTGTGTTGCATTTGTCAGTTCACAGATGAGTTCACCTCGTGATCTCACCATCGATATTAACTATTACTTCCTGCTAAATGGAATTCTCTTAACCTCTTGCTATTACCAAGTTTAAAATCAAATATCTCTGAAAGCCATAGAGCTAAAAAATTGAAAATTATTTTTTTAAAAACAGTTAAACATAAATCCCTGGTTATAAAAATAACGCATTTATTATTGAAAAATTAGAAAATTATCAAACTATGATGAAAGGAAAAAATACCTATAATTCCACTACCCAGGAGTCCTTATTATATCTTATCTGTATATGACAGGACACTATGGACCTTCTGCTGTTTAAAGAGTGGAGTTGGCATGTACTCGCCATCAAATTGGCACTGACTGACCAACACTATGGTGTTCACACAGTAGTAATATTCTCCAGGGATTAGGGGGTTGGGGGCGGTAAACTCACAACTAATGGACGTGGTGAGCATTGTAGTGGGGAAGGGCAAGCCTCTGTCCCTCACTTGGGTGAGGCAAAGACATAAAATGTAACCAAAATGTTTGTAACCTCATAATATCCTGAAATAAAAATAAAAATTAAAAAAAAAAAGAGTGGAGTTGGGAGTCACTCCTCCCCATTTTTTAATATATATATAAATATATATGGAATTATTTTAATTTTAGTATATGTGCTGCCAAAGCAAGCACTATTCTTCTAGATAACCAAATTGTTCAGATCACTAAAGGATAACTGTTCTAGCACCAAAACACATTTAATTTTAACTATTTATGAATTAAATATTTCTAACAGAAACACACCTTTCTGCCTTCCTAAACAGTTTAACCTTTCCTTGATAATCTGAGATCATCATCATTATCATTATTAATGTCAATTATCCTTATACTATACAATTCCTTTACAGATGTCCTCAAGAATTGCTGAATTAAATGGTAACGCTTGCCCCCATTATTCATTTTAATGACATATAGACTTTTATATGTTCCTTTTCTATGTTATCCTCATCTAAAACTCCTCTTATCTAGCTACCCTGGATTCCTTGTGGATCCCCAAACATGCACTGAATTTATTTGCTCCTGTGGGTTTCCTTCACCTTGGATGCCCCACCCCACCATCTCTGGACACTGAAAATCTTGCCATCCTCAAATGCCAGCTTAGAACCATCTCATCCATGAATCCATTCTTGATACCTTCCAGTCAGAAGGAATCTCTCCCTTGCCTGGGCCACCTGGGGAGTTTGTCCATTTTCTCATGAATTATTTACCCCCTGGCATTTGTTTAATGTTTTGCAATTTGTAAACATTTTTACATAATCTCCAATTATCCTCACAACAGTCTGTCATTATGATCATTGTACAGATAATTAAACAGGCTCATAAAAAGCACAGTCCCAGATGAGAACTATTAAAGTTCCCCTTCTTTACTTGCAGCACTGCCGGGCCACTGAACATTCCATCTCAGTCCACCCAACTCCACTAAAATAATGGAGTTATGAGACAAAGCTAATCCTTCCTCAGCCCCCAACAATCACGGTTGGATTAGTCCAGTGATCCCAAACCTGGCTAAGCAGAATTGACTAGGGAGCCTCAAAATATATATGCTTGGCCCAGACCCAGCGTTCCAGAATCAGAATCTACAGAGTTGGGGCCTGTACATATTTTTCTTTGGTTGGTTGGTTTTTAAAGTTTCCATTATGATCCCAGTGATTACTCGGGTTTGAGTAACATAGAACTAACCCATTTATCTGGTATTACTAAGATGTGTTTTCTGTAATGACTGGTAAGTAACCCCATTTGGATGTTCAGAGCAGAAAGAGTGACTGGCTTAGTCAGTTTCTGAGGACAGAATTTTTTCTTAGAAAAAATAACAGACATCTATTTATGAATGAACTATCTACACTGTGGATTATCTACTGTGACTTAGCCTCCATCTGGATGTATCATGAAACTGGACTGAGCAAGAGCAGAGTCATGGTCAAGGTATAGAGTAGGTTGGTATCCAAGCAGGAGCACAATGAAATATATTTGGCTTATTCCTTCTTCTTCTCCCCTCTATTAGTTCAGATAATGAGCCAGTGGTAGGAGATGCTACCTGTAGGCCTGTGAATTTCTAACTCACCACTATAACTGTTGAGACCCAGCATCTTGGATTTCTTTGCCATTTCAGCACTGAAAACCTATAAGAAGCAAAACAGAGCAGTGGGTCATAAGCAAGGTGCATAGCCACTGTCATCAAAATCTCTCTCTTTACCTGCACACACCACATTTGACATTATCCACTGTCAGTTCCCATTCCTACTCCCACAAATCTAAAACAGCCTTTAGGAAAATCCTAAGGAAGAGCACCACATTCTGTTAAAACATATAAGGCAAACCAGTGTAGGAAAAATGGAAAGAAAACCAAAATCTGGTATTAAAAAAGAACGCATATTCCTAGGCAAAATATAACCATTCATACATTCAAGAGATACTAATTCCCTGCTTATTGCACATTAGGCACTGAACTAAAGCTGTAGATATGTCACTGAAGAAGACAAACATAGGCAGATGCTCTTGTAATTAATAAAACACATTCACTTTTAAATTTCTTTTTTTTTTTTTTAAAGAGATGAGGCCTCACTCTGTTACCCAGGCAGGAGTGCAGTGGCTTGATCATGATCATAGCTCACTGCAGCCTCAAACTCCTGGGCTCAAGTGATCCTCCTGCCTCAGCCTCCCAAGTTGCTGGGATTACAGGCGTGAGCCACCACAACTGGCTAGAAAATTATATAGCCACAAACTTTGTAGATTGAATAAATGATCTGTTTTATATAAGCCAATTCCTATAAAGTGCTTAAAATTGTCCCTAGCACATAGCAAGTATTCAGTATATATTAGCTATTGTAATTATTATATGAAAGTCTATAGACAAAAATTGTACATATTGCCATGCAGAACTTTTTAACACAGTGTCTGTATGAAATAACACCTCTCTCCTAGAGTTTGGAACCACCATATCCACTGTCTTCCTTGTTCAAAGTAGATACAATTGGTAGTACAGAGGCCCCCAACTTATAATAGTTCAATTCAGGAATTTTTGGCTTTATGATGGTGCAAAAGTGATACCCATTCAGCAGAAACTGTACTTCTGATTTTGAATTTTGACCTTTTCCCAGGTTAGTGATATGTGGTACAATGCTCTCTCGTGATGCTGAGCAGTGGCAGCAAGCCATAGCTCCCAGTCAGTCAGGCAATCTCGCAAACCACCAATACTATACAGTGTACTGTGTTCAATAAATTACATGAGATATGCAACACTTTATTATAAAATAGGCTTTGTGTTAGATGATTTTGCCCAACTGTAGGCTAATGTAAGTGTTCTGAGCATGGTTAAATTAACGTAGGCTAAGCTAAGCTACGATGTTTGGTAAGTGAGGTATATTAAATGCATTTTTGACTTACCATATTTTCAACCTACGATGGGTTTATCAGGACAAAACCCTGTCACAAGTCAAGGGGCATCTGTGATTACTTCATTGAAAAGATCGTAATTAATGCGATAATTACTAGATTGGACTAGATTTTACTTTGCATCTGAACTTTAACATGAAGTTTCTTAATTTATAGGACATTTTCTTCATAAATTGCATTTGCATCTGCTATTTAAAGAGCAAAAAGCCCTTAATCTTAGCATATTTAGTACCTGGAGAGGTTCTGACAAGGTACTTAGGGAAGATGCCCTCCTCATCCAAGCACTTGGAAATAAAACAAATGAGGTAATATTATCTGCCAATAAAAACACGAATAATGGCCCGGTATGGTGGCTCATGCCTGTAATCCTAGCACTCTGGTAGGCTGAGGTGGGAGGATTCATTGGGCTCTGGAGTTTGAGACAAGCCTGAGCAAGAGTGAGACCCCATCTCTACTAAAAATAGAAAACTTAGCTGGGCATGTGGCACATGCCTGTAGTCCCAGCTACTTGGGAGGCTAAGGAAGGAGAATTGCTTGAACCCAGGAGTTTGAGGTTGCAAGGAGGCACGATGACAACATTGCACTGTAGCCTGGGTGACAGAACAAGACTCTGTCTCAAAAACATAAAAAGACTAATAAGAACTATCATATACAGTGGATAAAAATTAGCCCTGTCCAGAAGTCACTTTAAAAGTCAGATATATTGCAGGGTTAGAAATCCTTGGGCAAGGCTTTTGAATTGAATGTGAAAGAGAAGTGTAACTATCAGTAGCAATAACATTAAAGAAAGAAGGTGTGAATAACAAGCAGATGATCTGCAAGGAGTTTGGAAAAGTAGACCCAAAGGGCAAGAATTTGGCAGTGTTGTTCCAGCTCTGTCTATGAGCGACTAACACTGAATCTGAGAGAAGTCTGTCATGTGACCTGGAGAAGTATTCCTTATTACAAGACACAATGCTTGGCACAAGGTAGATATGCAATAAATGTTTGTTAAATAACCATCCGTCGCCTTTTATAGATACTCAGTTCCACCTAGGCCCCTTATCATCATGAAATACTGGTGAACACAAGCATTTCAGTCAGCTGGGGAATTATTTACTCACTGTCAATTCTGAATTGGAAATATGAGTGTGTGAATATAACTATCACTTTATTGTGAGTTTGGTGTAAGCTGGTCTTCCTGGCTCAGGTCACCTCTGGATATTTGACAAATTCATTTTGTGAGGATCTTTTTAAGTTGTCTTTTCATCTTTCTGTACACACATATCTCATTGTAAGACTTATTTAAGAAGAAAAGACAGGCTTATTAGAAGGCTGGTGATGTATACATATGTCATACCTCCATATGGATAAAATATAGTGTTAATGTTGAAAAAAGCTTGAAGGAGTGGTCAGTGTTCACTATATAATGTAATTCACCGTGTAAGATAATCCTCTCCTTTGCATCACAAAACTAAAAGATGTATCATTTCTCAAGTTATTTTTTCTGTGTTTTTGTTTAGTGGTTCATTCAGAATATAGGCTTTTGGAGCAGACAGATCCAGGTTGGGAATCTTGGTTTGGCCACTTGACTGTGTGCATATTAACTTCTGGGTTATGTTTTCCCATTTATGAAATGGAGATGACAACAGTGGCTTCATCCCAGGACTGAGGGAAGAATAAAATGAGACAGCTTCTTCTTAGCACAGTGCCTGGCCCATGCAATACATGGCAACTATTTTTATTTTTAGCCCCTAGGGGAGCCCTCAGACTATGCTTGATCTTTCTACCTTTCTTGAACTGCCTTGCACATTTTTGTTTGTATGTTGGAGAGAATAAACCTTCTATTCTAGATGTGGTTAATTCCTCTTATTTGGATATGGTGCTTTACAAACAGTTCAGGGATGTACTCAGGGCACCTATCTGAGCCCAGGGATAGTCCTCTGCTTGGAGAAAACTGATGCACTTCATTCAAAGGACAGGATCGTTCATTTTATCAGAAGGTGAGCTACTTCCTTGGGTCAAGTTCCACCATCTCACCAGCTAGCTGTGGATGAGGCACAGTGGCTTACTGGAGCCAGCTTACATTAGCTCACGAGAGCCCACTGTGAACATCTCTTCCAGCTCTGCCATCAGTGATGTCACACTGATAGCTTGAAAGCAGCCATCAAAATCAGCTACAAATGCTCCAAATCTCCCTGTGTCTAACTGGCAGCAGAAGGAATGAGAATCTTTACACTTGCTCCAGGAAAGAGCTAACTAGAACAGGTATAAACTCATTTCCTTGTAGGGAGAGATAAAGTGGCAACCACACACGGAGCAGGTCAGGAGGTGGGAAGTAATACTTGGGGCCACTCTCTGCCAGGCACTGAGCAAGGCCCTTTATACCCCAAACCCAGACACATGCGAGGAAGTCTCACTAGCACTTGGATGTTACTGTCAGTGGAATCAGAAAGCTATGTCTTAAAAACCTATTTTAAGCTGCTGTAACTTATTTCATTTCCTTTTCATTCTTCCCTAACATCATTAAAGTCTTTTTGAAAATGCCACCAAAGCAAGAGTAAAGCAAAGAGGTGGCTGGTACTTTAAAGGCAGAATAGCACAGCAATATATATTAATACTAATTATGCCAAATATATCAGAGACTTATTAACATGTTAGAAACTCAGTCTAATCTGTCCACTCTCAAACAAAAAGCTGAGATGAAGAGAACACTAAAGAAGCTGAACATACAGATCTGTATACTCAGACACACAAGGCAAACTCCCCGGCAACACATGTCCCTACATTTTGTTAGACCACAGCTGATCCTGAGGTCACCTCCAGATGAGTTAAGAAAAAATAGATTGAATTTGAGGGCAGTACTGGGGATACGGCAAAAGTAGGACACACCCGCGCTGTTAAAGAATTTGTAATCTAGTTTGAAAGAAAAGATAAATAATTCACTTTAATGTGGTAGTAATTCAGCACTCAGTGAACTATAGCTCATTACAGTTGATACAGTAACAGCTAACCTTCATGAAGGGCCTACTGTGTGCCAGGTACTCTTCTAAGTGTTTTACATGAATTAACTCATTTAATCCTTGCAACAGCTCTATCATATGGTAGTTATTATCTCTCTTTTAAAAGATGAGGAAACTGAGGTACGGATAAGTAATCTAACTTGCCCAAGGTCACACAGCCAGTAAGAGGCAAAGCTCAGATTCATAGGGATTTCAGAGGGAAAATTCATCGACTGAAGAGGAGAGGACAAATAATTTATTTTAAATACATTGGATTTGAGATGAAAGTCAGAGATCCAAACAGAAATGAGAAAGGGTGGAGATGGGGGTCTGAAGTTGGCTCTGAAGACGGGACTTTACAGAATTTATGGCAGAAGTCTTAGGAACAGTTGCATTCTTGGAGGAAGAGAGAAGAGAGAGGAGCAGAGGACTCCACACCAAAACTAGAAGGTTGCTTACCTTTAAGGAGCAGAGGGAAGAATAAATGCCAACAAAAGAAAAGAGAGAAGCTAGATAGTGGGATAAACATGGCTTCTACAATGACATTCTTTACCAGGTCAGAGGTAAGTAATTTATAAAAACTAAATTTCACCAAGTTAGAACACCACCACGCAGTACAGCACCTGGCACCGTGTCTTACGTTGGAGATACCAAACAGATGTTGAATGAATGAACTATAGGACATTTCTAAGATATTAACCTACCTCATATATCTCCAGTTGTCCTGGAAAGATCACAAACTTTACAGTGAATTGGTTTTTCAAATGGTCTTTGGCAAATGTTAAAACTTCATCAAACATTATCTCTGCTGCTTTTTCCTTCCCTATGGCAGGGTTTCCAGTGCCAAGGGCAGGAAAGGAAATGGAAGTTATATTTAGCTCAAGGCATTTTTCCAAACACTTCCTCACTGCATTTCTCAATGTCTGTAGGAGAAACACAAATTTAAGATCAACCTTTGAGTCAAAAATAAGACCTCACTTACCCCTTGATCCTGTCCATATCTTACAATGCCAACCTCCACTCTCCCTCAGGGTCATGTCCATGCTTCCTCAGAGGGCAGGAGAGGTCCCACTCCATGGGGAACACTCTACAGCTGTAAGGTTAGATGAGGAGAAACTCAAGCAATCGAGTGGCTCAATTTATGCTATTCAGGACATTTGGGCACTGTGATTTCTCCCAGTTTATGTAGGCTTGCCCAGCGTCCCAGCTCAGAGAGCCAACCATCAGTTTATCCCCACTCACCTGCCACTTCCAGGTCAATATAAAGAGCTCTTGCAAGTTCAACAAAGGAGAAAGAGATTACAGTAAGAAAGCAGCGTTTATTCAGTGTCATTAAGATCAATCATGTAATTTCTCCTGGAGAAGTGCTAGTATTTTTAGCAGATACAAACTTCCATCAACTTTTCAACAACAAATTGAATACCAATACAGGAAGGCTGTCTGTGGAAGAACTTTGGAAAACTGAGGGATGGAGAGATTGGAGGACCAATTTGGGATTAGAGAGCGATCTAGTCAAGAAAGGACAAGAAATGGTGAAGAAAAAAGATAGACAAAGGCAGAGGAGGGGATTAAACTTCCTCTTTCCACATCTGAGTGGGTACCCCCTATTCTTTAATGCTTGTATTTTATGTGCCTCAGGTGAAGGGTCAGCCAGAGAGCCATGCTCCACAGCAGGCACAGGTGGGAAGAGACCACAGGCAATAGATTTGACCGGAATGGTGGCAGAAGGGAAATCCCAGCTCTTCCTGGAATTTAACACCTAAAGGGAGATATAGAGAGGCTGAATCTCCTACCTACTTAGGAAAAGGCCTACAGGGTCACTGGGTATGGTGAGGTGAACCAGTGTTCAGACTGAGGGAGCTCGGATGCTCCAGTGTCTATTTGCAGTATGCCCACTTAAAATTTAGACATGGGCTAGGTAACATTTTACTTTTTTTTTTTGAGACAAGAGTCTTGCTCTGTTGCCCAGGCTAGAGTGCCGTGGCGTCAGCCTAGCTCACAGCAACCTCAAACTCCTGGGCTCAAGCGATCCTTCTACCTCAGCCTCCCGAGTAGCTGGGACTACAGGCATGCGCCACCATGCCCGGCTAATTTTTTCTATATATTTTTAGTTGTCCTATTAATTTCTTTCTATTTTTAGTAGAGATGGGGTCTCGCTCTTGCTCAGGCTGGTTTCGAACTCCTGAGCTCAAACAATCCGCCTGCCTCGGCCTCCCAGAGTGCTAGGATTACAGGCGTGAGCCACCGTGCCCGGCCCCTGGTAACATTTTAAATTAAACTTCTTGAGATAATGTGTGGCAACTGTACTTGTTCAGTATTTCTGGTATTCACAAGGGTGCTAAAAATTGGGGACTATACCACTTGACAATATTTCATGAATGTAATGAAAGGATGCAAGTTCAATAAAGACTGAATAGACTATGGAGCTACATAAAGATACATTTATTTTAAACTTACCAGATATTGAGGACATCCAGAATGCCAAATTACGTGGTATACATATTGACAGGGCAATTTATATCCTTTCGTGATCACTACAAACTGGGAATCTTCAACCAGTCTAGAATTTTTATCCAATTCCCATTTCATTTCAGCTCCTCCTTGTTGTAGAATTGAGTTTGACAGAAGTCCTACACCAACACCAGTTTGATGTACAGAATTAACAATTACATCTGTCTGAAAAGGGAAGAAAGGACAGGATTCACTGTTAAATTCCTTCTTCTTAAATGACTTATTTAAATCTTTATTTTCCTGAAGAGCTCTGAAAAATACTTTTTTAAGATCCTAAATCCACAAAAATTCATTTAATGATGGAGAGAAATTCATATTTCCAATGAGTGATCATTTGATTGCTATGAAGCTATTTGTCCTATTCAGAAATTATGTCAATATATGGATGATATAATTTTTATTGCAAACATCTGTTAGCCCCTTGCTGGATTACACCACCCATATTTAGATTTTGAGCATTCTCTGTGATTTGTTTTAAGCTCTATCAATAAATGGCTTCATTCTCTGCCCCGCCACCATCGCTTTTTTCTATTTCTGTGTGGGATTTTGTTTTGTTTTAAATAGACAAGAAATAAAATTCCTTAGGAACTTTCTACCTCCTAATGTTTTTACGGTTTAAGGTAAGTAGTACATGGTTAAGGAGAGTCCAAATGAGATGAAAAGGTCTTCAGCGACAAGTAGGCCTCCCTCTTGGTGGAGTCCCTAGATTCCCCACTCACCTACCCATGCTACAGGTGACCGCTTTTACCAGCTCTTCATCTGTCTTTTCAGAAATAGACTGTACTTTAAGTAATATCATCTCCTAGTTAGCCCTCACAGCTGCATTAAAGGAGGTAGTATCCTTCCTCCCCCCATGCCTGAATCCCCTAATCATCCTGATAGCTTTACCTCCCTTTTGGGGTATCTTAGGTAATTCTCAGGGATGTTAATGAATGTCTCACTTTGAAAGTGCAGTTAGAATTTGCAAGTTGGGGGTACTGGGATCCTTTAAACATTTTAAAATTCCTAATACTGTCGGCAATAAATAAATGCAACAAAATTTCAGTTAAAGGGATGTTTTTCAACTAGAATGTTTCCACTTTAATTTTAAATTGGTTTGCTAATGACATCTTGAATAAATATTTCATTTCTTGGGGTCCCCTCAGTTTTCTCTCTAATTGTCTTATTGGTGATAAGTGGTATTTGTACTGATGATTAAGTCTATTTGATTGTGGCCACAACAGTCTTAAGTGTGACATCACTGATCCAGAAAACAAAAGAATATAGCCTTACATTCTTTCTCTCCCTCTGTTGCAGTCCCTGCTCCCTGCTGCCGCCTCCACTTTTTCATCGTTAATTTGCTGAACATCTAGATGCATGCCCAGACCAGGCCTTGGGGCTACGGAAATGAACAAGCCATCCCCATCTTCAAAGTGCTCTCTGTCTATCAGGGGAGCTGCACTAACTCAGAAATACCTAGCTCCACTCTTGCCCTGACTTCTCTTCCCTGCTAGGATCCTCAAGTATTCCTATTTATTATTTTTGTTTTATTTAAATTTTTTTCATTAATAGTGTCCTGGTATTATAAATATTATTTTTGTTTACCACTGACAGGTTGCTTCAGCAATGCTGAGATGGTTTTTCTCCCCAGTGAGATTTTTCAAATAAAGAATTTTTTACATAAGAATATAATAGATTTTAGGTTCCTTGGGATCAAAGACTGTTCTAATTCCTGATGGTGCCTAAGAATAACAGCAATAGCAGTGATAATTATAAACATGTATCATGTACCAAGCACGATTCTAAGCATTTTATGTATATCGATTCCACTTTAAGACATATGTGCTATCATTATCCTCATTTGACAGATGAGAAAACTGAAGACCAAAAGGTAAAGTAACTTGCTTTGGGTCACCCAGTTAGTAAATGGAAAAGCTTGTATTCAAATCCAGATGGCCTGACTCTGAAGTCCATATTTTTTTTTTGAATTTTTAAATTAAAAAAAATGGTTTTTTTAAGTTTTTAAAAATTTTCTTTCTTTTTCTTTTTGTTTTTTAAGAGCTGGAGTCTCACTATGTTCCTTAGGCTAGACTCAAACCCCTTGGCTCAAGCAATCCTCTGGCCTCAGCCTCCTGAGTAGCTGAGACTACATATGCCCATCACTGTACATATTCTTAACCCTGACAAGATGTTTTCTACACAGTGTTGCATAGTGTATGCTCAAAAAATATTTAATAGGCAATTAACAATTCAGGGATCACCTGTGGTAGTGCAAGAGAATAAAAATAAAGACTTACCAATTGCAGTTGAATGTGGTCCTGGACAATCTGGAGAGTCAGATTGTTCATAACCATTGTATTGAGAGGATGGGTGGCTTTTTGACTCAACCAGGGGCCCAGCTCATTCCTCCCTAAGATGTGTTCTGAAGCAGCTTTCCAGGAAGCAACAGTAGGGTCCTCATTGCTCACCAAGTGAATTTCTTTCAAATTACCGAACATTTGCTTCCCTTGCAAATTAAACTGGATAGTTTCTACAATGGTCTGTGTACATAAATCCAGAGGGAACTGGAAAATCCCAGAACTCAGGGCTGGAATTGCTACTGTCTTAATGAGAGTATTTCTATAGATGACATAATCCAGAATATTTGTAATGGCCCTCTGCAGCATAGTGATACATCCCTGTGGATCCGCTGCCCTCCATCGGGGCCCAACAGCATGGATGATCACTTTGCAGGGAAGCCTCCCTGCTCCAGTGGTAACTATTTCACCAGTTGGTATTTTACCATAACTGACAATGACTCTTCTGCTCTCTTCTTGGATTTCAGGGCCACCAACTTTCACCAGGGCCAGGGCCAGGCCTCCCCCGTGTAGAAGGTCTTCATTGGCTGCATTCACCACAGCATCAACAGCATGTTGGGTTAGGTCACCCTTCCAGACAGATAACTCTAGCCCAGGAGTCAGCATTTTTCTGAACACTTGCAGAGATTTGCTGTTGCCTTTCAGGGCTGGAGAGACCAGGGTAGAGATACAGAGAAACTTTTTCTGGAGGACTTCATGCAGCTGCCTCTCATTATTTTTTAAAATTTCGAAGTCATGGTGATTAATGGGAATTTGCCAACTATCATTTTCTCTGAGAGTATCAGTCTCTGGAAAAGGAAAGAAGATTAAAAAATAAAGAAATGAGCAAAGTTCCTTTGAAAAGGATGTAATGTCACTTCACTGCAGGAGACTGAGTTCCCTATGTGCAAAAGAGAAATGAACTTCCTCTAGCACCCTTCCTGATTCTTCTTACCTAGACATGTAATTGAACCAAGGATACTCGAGAGTTCTCAATGGTAGGTCACCCGTAAAGTAGATAGTCTTGTGCCTGGCATATGGTAAATACTCCATAAGTGGTAGCTACTATGATACAATGATGGTGGTAAGAAAACTGTGTATATGGGGGCTCATGAAATTGATTGGGTTGTTTTTTTGTTTTTTGTTTTTTCTTTGAGACAGGATCTCACTCTGTTGCCCAGGCTAGAATTCAGTGGCATCATCATAACTCACAGCAACCTCAAACTCCCAGGCTCAAGCTATCCTCCTGCCTCAGCTTCCCAAGTAGTTAGGACTGCAGGCATGCACCACCATGCCCAGTTAGTTTGTGTATTTTTGGTAGAGACAGGATATCGCTACATTGCTCAGGCTGGTCTTGAACTCCCCAGCTCAAGCAATCCTCCTGCTTCAGCCACCCAATGTGCTAGGATTACAGGTGTGAACCACCACACCTAGCCATGAATTTTTTAAATGTATATAAAAATGGTGAGTTTGGAAAGACCCATGCTTAGGGCACATGTATTGGAAGGGATTTAATTATGAATAAAAAATATGTGGAGACTTTATAACTTGTTTGCTTTTGTCACTGTCTTAGTTGGTGTTCTCAAGAGCAGACCCTCATATGAGGATCTAAGTGTAGGCTTGTGGTGGGGAGGGCAGAGTAGGAAAGCAAGACAAAATAAATGAACAAAGGGTATCTTACTAAGCAAATGAAGTTCAACTGCACTGGGAGACAGTGTAGATGTTGTGCCTCAGTTATATCACCAGAGTGGTAATTAAGGAGTTGGGATATTTATCCACCTTCTAATAGGTCATTGGTTCAGGTAGTTCCTTGGTGGGGAGCAGCGGGGAGGGGGACATCAGACCAGCAAATTAGTGGACACTGACAGTAATGAGTGGACACTGAGAGTGCTTGCTACAGCGAATAATTCTTCATGATACTCTAGTTTCATGGCACAATTTTGGCAGAATTAAAACTAGTTGACTAAAAATCATGGCAGACAAGAAGATGTGCTGCTCAGATCTACCTTTAATTTGGTTATGAAGTGGGAAATATGGTTAGTCGACAGCCCCTTAGGGTTTATCTCAGCTTTCAGCCAACGTCATGCTTTTCTCAGGGCAGCCTCCATTAATGGCGGAGCAAAGCCATGTATGCCCAACGTGGGATACCTCTGGTGGGCAATCTCTGTGTCGGGTTTTCATTGCAGTCTGATGGCTCCACCTGCCCAATCCGGCTTCCTCTCTTTTCCTTTCACATGAACCTTTTGCACTGGTAACTCCATATCAGCTTCTGCTTCCTGGAGAACCCAACCTGCAACACTATATTTCATGGCATCTAAGACATTGTTTTTATATGCTTCTGAGAAAGGAAAAATGACGCCAACTGAACTGTGGCACACCATCAATTGATAGGAGGACGACGACTTTATTTCAGAGATGTTAAAATGTGAAAAAAATATGCATCCTTAGATAGATAAAATGTGATAACTATATTTTACTTCAACTCCCATTTCTAATCTGAGCCACTTAGAAAGACCTCTAGTGGCCTCAATTACCCAAAAGAAGCAGCAATTGAGTAGTCAGGCCCAACTGGCCTGAGCTTTGGTTCTAACTCTCAAATGGGCCACCCCTAGTATCAGGCTTGGCTCTTCCAGGCCTTGTTGAGCAAGGCGACAATCAGGTGGTGCCCTCTTCTGGCCAACTGCAGCTGTAGGGCTGTGGTCAGAAGAGTCTCCCACCTTGTGGGCAAAGGGGAGGACCAATGAGGGCCCTAAACGGACATGCCTGCTGGCACCACACCGCCTCTGAGCCTCTGAAGCACGTGCTGGGCCCCCACAAGTGTCTGCCATCACCCACCTGAGCACTTGTCGGGGAGACATTCTCCTTCCGTATTCCCCTTTCTCCACTGAGGAAAGATCTGAGCAAAGACTTTCTGAAACAAGAGTGAGAGCCAAGTAATCGTACCTGATTTTTCATTGTAAGCTGCTGCTCCAGCACCCTGTGAAAAATGAGAAAGGCTTTTTTAAAAAATGGAAGCTAAATGACTACAGATTACTCATAACAAATATAGCCTTTATTAACACAGCACAACAGAAACCCTGCTCAAAGAACTGGGTCTGGGAGGGAGGGGAACAAGTGTTTTTTTATCTGTGTGTCTGAAACACTTAAAATACTAAATGTTCCAGCAAACACTGACCCCCATCCCACTTCCCTAGGGGTCAATGCACTTCTAATTCAGAATGAGATGAGGGCTGGAGGTTAACACTTGAAAAGGCCCAAAGGCCCACAGACCAACATGACCCCAAACTCTCTGGATAGCCTCCAATCTCCGAAGTTTTAAGAGATTTCTCTAGACAGAACAGAAGCCATGGCGACAGGAGCTTCACCTGCTGCATCTCCCATCCACCAGTAAGGATATGCTTTCAGTTGCCTTTTTTTCCCATGGCACAAGCTTTAATGTGGCATTTTCAAGTTTAGCAAATGAGATGCCTTTTTCTATTTCCTTATTTTTATTCCTCCTCCAATACCCTCTTTGCCCCATCCTGAAAAAGAAGAATTGCTGAATAAGTGAAGAAAATCAAAATGATACTGATTTTCAGTGCTGAGGTGACTTTTTAAAAAAAGTCAACTCTCAAGGTGACTCTGTTGATTCGATTCGATTAGACGTTCCCCATTTCCCACATGGTACAAGGAGAAAACTTTTATTGGGCCATTAAAACCAGATGAGGATGTCAGGTATGACTGAAGACTTCAGATTTCTTGCTGTTATAGGAAGAACTATTCATGTGTTGATCAAGGTTCATGATATATACACATTCATTCTTTTTACCATGGGAAAGTCCATCCTCCAGGTTGCTGCGGGGGTCTTTAAATGTTTATACTCTCTTTTGTGGTTCCAAGTACAGATTGTAGTTCACAGATACGGTGGCCCACTTCTAGGAATAAATAGAAAAGATGCAATAAGCATTGATCAGAACCTTAAGGAATTTGGTAAGAAGATACTGTAGGAGCTATCTTGAATAGTTTTACACATCATTGGTGAAGATGCATACATTGTTTTGCTGCTGTTGTCACCTTTTACTTTCTATTCTTTCCAGGAGAGGTGGCAACTGAAACCGTGAGGGTAGTTCAGAGAAGGTAAAAAGCTGTACAGACCGGAACAGGGAAAGCTTTATGGAGGAGGGGAGACTAGAGCCAGGCCTTGAAGCATGAAGCAGGTTTTTACATATTTAGAACAGGATGAGAACAAAAGGTGAGACAGTATTCAAAGAACTAGCCTCATGGGTGAGTAAAGACCCTTGGAGAGTGTTTGAAGAAAGAGGAAACACCACTCGTGCCTGTGAGGGGTAAGTATTACTAAATTTGTGATAAATATCCTGACCTAATTAGATAGGGGAATATCTGGATAAAAGTCAGAAACTCTGGCCAGGCGTGGTGGCTCATGCCTGTAATCCTAGCACTCTGGGAGGCTGAGGTGGGCGGATCATTTGAGCTCAGGAGTTCGAAACCAGCCTGAGCAAGAGCGAGACCCCATCTCTACTAAAAAAGTAGAAAGAAATTAGCTGGACAACTAAAAATACATATATAAAAAAAATTAGCCGGGCATGGTGGCGCATGCCTGTAGTCCCAGCTACTCGGGAGGCTGCGGCAGTAGGATTGCTTGAGCCCAGGAGTTTGAGGTTGCTGTGAGCTAGAGTGACGCCACAGCACTCTAGCCCAGGCAACAGAGTGAGACTCTGTCTCAAAAAAAAAAAGTCAGAAAGTCTAAGAAATTACATTAAAATTACATTTTAATGATTTTTCATCTAATAAATAGGAATTAAAGATTGTGAATTTTCAGAAGAATGACAATGAAAATATTTAAAAATGCAATTGCCCACACTGTTGCTATCTTCAGTCCTCTGAAATGATTGCTAATGTCTTTGCAATAGAAAAGTTTTTACAGCATCAGAGCACTATCCTTTACGAATCAAGGAAAAACAGCAAGTTCAGTACAACTGTAAAACGCAAGGACAAGATGCATTTTTGCCTCCAGAGGGCACTGCTGTTTTCACAAAAGAAGGGAGACCAGCAGCTGCTTTGGCTGTGGGCTTTTGCTTTAGATGTTGCACTTGTTTGTCTTCACACCAGGCTCTACAGGCCTATGGATAGACTTGGTGGTGGAGGTGACATTCATTTAACCCTGAAGAAATAGAAACAAGGAGCATATTGCCCCAAACATTCAATCTATTGCATTAAAAAAAACAACAAAAACCTTCCCAACTTTCCATCAATGGTTCCTACTGTGTTTCCTTCTCTTCATGAACAGCTGAACTTCTGGAATGAGCAGTTGACTCTACTCCTGTCCACATTCCTGCTTAGCCCACTATAGCCTGGCTCCCCACCTCACTCCCAGCGCTCCTCTGAAACTGTCGTCACTGTCCTCCATGTGGTAACCCCAATGGACTTTATTCTGTCCTAATCTGTACTTGACCCCTTTCTATAGTATTTCATTCTTTGATTCCTAAAACCCCACTTTCTTGGCTTCTTCTGTGCCACCTTCCCTTGGTTCTTTTGCTATCTCTCACTATGCGTTTATAGGCCTTTCCCTGGGCTCACTTCCACCATCCACCCTTAATCACTTGCCCCAGGATTCTGTCCAAGAGGCACTTCTCATCTCACCCTACATTCTCTCCAGGGGTGATGCATCCACTCCCATGGCTTCAACTCACCAACTGCAAATATGACTCCCCATATCTGTATCTCTAGGCTACGGCTCTCCTGAGCCTCACTTTTCAACTCTACCTGATTATCCTAGAGTCCCTTCAAACACAGCCTCTGCAAAATTGGACCCCTTATCTCCTGGTCTCCACTTTCCCATTCTCCTGCTCCCCTCCAAAATCCATGCTTTGTCTCCTGGATTCCACAGCTCAGTAAATGATATATACCATTTACCCACTTGGCTCAGAAATCTAGGAATTCTTGAATCTTCTCTTTTGCCGTATATCCAACCCATCTCTGGGTCCTGACCACTTGAATCGCTTTCAGATATGCCCCTACCCTCCTCACCCACGGACACTGCTTCACTTTAGAGTCTCAGCACCTCTTGTCTGACCTGTGGCAATACACTCTTTTCAAAGATTTTAATATACCTAATTTTACGTTTTATTGTTTGAACAGGTATTACATTTATGTTAGGTTTATTCCAGGTGGGAACCTGAAAAGTATGTGTAGGACAGAACGTGGTTAATGCAAAACTTAGGCTTGTAAACAGTAGCCGCAGGAGTCTGGGGAGTCCCTGGACTTTGTAGATCTGATGGCTGCAGCCAGCATTCCTTCCCCCTCCCTCCCTGATGGAGACCAAGGCTATCCCTCCCTAGCTGTCCTGATAAGGACAAGGCCAGAGCAGAAGGATGGGTGCCACTGGGGCAAAGGGGTAGTAGCAGTTGGTTGTTTGAAGAAGAATTTACTATAAACAGCTGTTCTGCCCACCGTCCTCTGCTGCACGTAGCAGGAAGCAATTCTTCACCTGCCAGTTTGGCCCAGAAACAAAGAACTGAACAGGGCAGGTGGGAGGGGGTCTGCTATCCCTGTTTATAAAAACCCTCACTAAACCCCCTTCTGTGCTGACTCCCTTTTCGGACTCAGCCCACCCGCACCCAGGTGAATAAACCAGCCATGTTGCTCTCACATAGCCTGTGTGTGACATGTGTCCTTTGGGTCATTCATTCACTCTTTCAATTTACATGTTCAAATTTTAAAAGTGTAAAAGGCTCACTCCTACCTCCCTATGTTCCCCTACCAGAGGCAATCAGTGCTTCTCCTATATCCTTCCAGAAGTATTTTCACACAAAAGGTAGCGGCTTGTATTTACTCTTCTCCATCTTATCTTTTCCACTTATTGTATCATAGACATCTTTTCACATTAGCACATAGAGATGTTCCTCGTTTTTATACACACTATTATTTAACTGTTAGTCCTCCCACTTATGGCTGTTTAAGGAGTTCCCAATCTTTTGCTATTGTGAACAAGACTGAAAAGAACAACTTTGTACATAGGTCACTTGACACAGGGGATAGTATATCAATGGGACAGATTCCTAGAAGTGGAGCTGCAGAACCGTAAAGCATATGCAGTGACAATTCCAATAGTACTGTCAAATTGCTTGACATAAAGGCTGACCCATTTCCAGTCTTACCGGCCATGTGCAAAATGCTTATCCTGGCCTCTCTGCCTCCATTCATTCCTGCTTGAAAATGTGTCCTCCACACCCTTGTCAGCACCATCTTTCTAAAATGCAAATCTGCCATGTCACTCTCTTCCACTGCTTACAACGCTTCAATTTCTCTTCACTGCTCTTCAAGGCCTTTCACCATCTCAGGTGGACTATTAACCACATGTAGCTACGGAGCACCTGACATGTGCCTAGTCACAATTGAGATGTGATGTAAATGTAAGAAAAACACTGGATCGCATAGACTTAGTATGACAAAAAGAATGTAAAGTATCTCATTGCATGCTGAAATGATTAAGTTTTGGCTATTAAGTTAAATGACATCACTAAGATTAATTTCACCTGTTTCTTTATAGTTTCTAAGATATGGCTACAAAAAATTTTAGAATTAACACACAGACTCTTCATTATATTTCTACTGGATAGCATCTTCTAGGTGGACCCTTCCTCCTTTACATCCTTTCCTCCCAGGCCTCAGGCCCCCTCTGTTCTTCAGACCACAGTGGCCTGTGCCTCATCCTCATCCTCCCCACTCCTCCCCTCCCCTTCCTTTCTCTTCCCCTCCCCTGCCCTCCCTTGCCCTGCCCTCCCCTCACTCTTACCAAGATTGTGCTTGAAACTTCTCAGAGGCCGTCCAGAGGTTTCTCTTCTTGCTTCACAGGCCACCTCCCTTCACCAGCCGTTGAGTCACGGTCTCGCTCTCATCTTTACTCCCCAGTTCGCCGGGCAGCAAGCGGTTCAGTGCTGTGGGCCAAATGAAGGAATGGGGCCGAAAAGCCCCAAGAGCCAGTCTAAAGTTGGAACGAGGGAACGGGTAAGAGGTCACAATGCAGGTGAACAAATTCAAATTTAAAAAAAATGTAAGTTTAACCTGAATTCAGAATGTGAATTGCATTTTCGAGGCAAATAATAGTAATAATAATAAGTAACAAAGAGACACAGGAGAAACTTACTTTCTTTGCCCAGTCTACATCCTCACAGGGGAGGCCTGGCCCTGGGACCCCGGTCCCCCTCCGCCCCCGGCCTGAGCCTGCAGGAGCGGGGACGCGGAGCCCCGAGAAAGCGCTTCGTGCAGCGCCCACCGCCCAGGGACGCGACCTACTCACCCGGCACACGGCCCCAGCGCCGACTGCAAGCAGAGGAGGGAAAACGGCTTTACCGGGAACAGGGAGGGACCTCCGGCAAAGCGAAACTGAAACTTTGCGGCCCCAGTCGCAGGGCGGGACGCGCCTTAGCCCCAGTCCCGGCCCCGTCGCGCCCCGAAGCCCCGCGCCAGCCCCACGCGGAGCCATGGCCTCCAGCCTCTGCCCGCCGTCCCCGCTCCTCGTGCGTCTGTCCGAGACCGTCCCCCGGGTCCACAGGAGGCTGGAAATCTACTTCCAGAGCCGGGCCTCGGGCGGCGGGGAGTGCACCGTCCGGCCGGTCGGCCACAGCGCCCCAGACACCTTCCAGGTGGAGTTCAGAGAAAGGGCAGGTGAGCTGCGGGGCAACCGAGGTGCGGGCCGGGGCTGGGGCAAAGGCCACCCCCGGGGGCCCAGCCCCGCGGGTTTCAGGGCAGACCTAGTCAAGCTGGCCTAGGGGACAGGGTGGGAGAAAGTATGGCACTGTCTGGTGAGGGACAGGAACGGGCTGCTGCTGCCAAGAGACTCGCTCAGACAGTGGACACTCAGACAGAGGAGGATAGAGCCCCAGGTGTACCCAGTCTGGGACCTGGGTCGCGCCTCAGTGTTGACGCTTTCCATATCCTCGTCCTGACATATTTCTCAGCTATCATCTTCCTTGCCCCAGGTGCCTGTCAGCCACTGTCCTTGTCATCTTGGCATTCCACTTTATGTTTTAAATAATGGTTCCACTAATTTATTTTTGAGGATTACAGAAGTAATATGTTTACTATAGAAAAGAAAGAATAAAAAAGAAAACTACCTGGAGATAAACAAATGTGAACATTTTGGTATATTTCCGTCCAGCCTTTTTTGATGAATGTCAGCAAACACTTAAAAAATTCTGACTCTGCACTTTTGATCCCTGCTTTTTTTCACTTAACTGTATAAGGAGTATTGAAATGGGAGACTGGAGACGGTTTCAGAAACATGATTTTTAATGTGTGGATGATGTTCCACTGTCATTAAGCTTTCATTTCTGCAGTAAAACTTAAGCTGCTCACTTTAGAGTTAATAGCTCCCTGCTTCCTCCCTCACCAACACACATTCCACCGTGCAGGGAGCAGCCTTGCTGGGAGGGTGCTGGGGCAGGACACAGATGCAGGAATAAGACAATTACTTGAAATCTCTCCCATTTCTGTGTGTATATGTGTGCATGTTTAATGTCTCCACTGAAGCTAAGGAGGGAGTGTTGAAAAAAGGAAAGCACGAAATGTTTATTGACAACAAAACTGTGACCATTTTCCTGGAACCCACTGAAAATCCAGTAGAGAACACGAGACCCAGAATTTCTTCGCTGACACAGTCTGGTGAGAAGCATCCAGTTGAAGGACATATTCCTAACTCTGGGGATTCCTGTGTCCAAAAGGTGAGTATTGAAAGGAGCTATGTTCCTGCAACTTCCTCTCCGATCACCACACCTTTGGTTATTGGTCCGACAACTCTGTGCAGGGGTCTTACTATGAGGTGACATTGTTTTAGGGACTGGGACACAGAGGTGAACACAACAGACAAGGTCTCTACTCTCATGCAGCTCGGATCGGGGGTGGGGAGGTACACGGAAAGACTAAAGGCAAATAAACAAAATAAAACCGTTTCAGAGAGTGATATGCGCTAAGAAGAAAATAAAATGTGGTTTTACTACTGACAAGGCCAGGGCAAGGAAGGGGAAGGTGGAGGTGGTGCTACTTCTGACCAGAAGTCAGAGTCAACTTCTCTGAGGAGGTGACATTTGGCCTGCGACTTGAATGATGAGAGGGAGCTGCCAGCGCAAAGATTCATTCAACAAGTAGATATTGACTGCCTACAGTGTGAACGTTTGGTATATTTCCTTCTAGCCTCTTTCTATGAATGTCAGCAAACTCATACCTATTTACAAAATTCTGAGTCTGCACTTTTGATTTCTACTTTTTTCACTTAACTGTAAAAAGAGTATTGTAGCGGGAGACTGGAGACAGTGTCGGAAACATGACTTTCCATTTTTGTTTATCTAAAGAAGTTTTTATTTCACATTTATTTTTGAAAAGTGTTCACTAGGTATAGAAATTCTAGGTTGACATTTTTTTTCTTTCAGTACTTTAAAGATGTCATTCCACTGTCTTCTGGCTTGCATTGTTTTTGTAAGAAGTCTGCTATTCTTATTTCTCTTCTGTATATAATGAGACCTTTTCCCTCTGTTTGTTTATTGATACGAAATAGTTGTACATATTTTGGGGAGTACATGTGATATTTTGATACATCCATACAATGTGTAATAATCAAATCAGGGTAATTGGGATAGATATCCATCATCTCAAGCAATTGTCCTTATATTGAGAACGTTCCAGTTCTTCTAGCTATTTTGAACTGTATAATGCATTACTGTTAACTGTTACAGGCACTGTTACAAGAGCTGGAGTCACAGCCAGGATTTCAACAGACTCTGCCTTCAGGGGCCTTACCTTTTAGTAAGGGAAATAGACAATAATAGTAATAAATAGATGTATAATAAAATGTCTGCCAGTGATAACTTCTAGGAAGAAGAATAAGCAGAATAAATGATAAGACAGTGACAGAACCACCATTTAAAATAAGATGTCCAGAAAAACCTCTCCTATGAGGTGACATCTGAGTAGACATGAATGAAGTAAGGGAGCTAGCCAAGTGGATTTCTTGGGGAAAGAACATTCTAGGCAGAGAACAGCTCAAGTACAAAGGCCTGTGACAGGAGCTGTGATTACAGGCATGCACCACCAGGCTCAGCTAATTTTTTTATTTTTATTTTTGTAGAGATGGGGTTCTCACTATGTTGCCCAGGCTAGTCTCGAACTCCTGGGCTCAAGGGATTCCCCCTGCCTCAGCCTCCCAAAGTGCTGAGGTTGCAGGTATGAACCACCAAGACTGGCCAGGATTTTGGAATTTAACTTAAATATTAGGGGATTCATGAAATGGTTTTGAGCTAAGGGAGGGGGTGATCTGATTTACATTTCTAAAGAGTCACTCTGGCTGCTGTGTTAAATGTAGGGGGCTGGACATGGTGGCTCACGCCAGTAATCCTAACACTCTGGGAGGCCAAGGCTGGAGGATCGCTTGAGCTCAGGAGTTTGAGACCAACCTGAGCAAGAGAGAGACCCTGTCTCTACTAAAAATAGAAAAATTATCATGGCATTATGGTGTGCACATGTAGTCCCAGCTACTCAGGAGGCTGAGGCAGGAGGATTGCTTGAACCCAGGAGTTTTAGGTTGCTGTGAGCTGTAATGACACCACTGCACTCTACCTGGGGCAATGGAGCAAGACTCTGCCTCAAAAAAAAAAAAAAAAAGTAGGAAGTGACTATTGTAGAAGGTCAGAGTCCAGTTAGGAGAGGTTGCAGTATGCCAGGTGAAAGGTGATAATGGCTTAGATTCTGGGTGGACGTGGGAGAGGAGGATTCAGGAAATATTTTGAAGGTCTAGAGGAAGAATGTTATTAATACATGCAGAGAAAATGGCATGCACAAAGACCTTGAGGGGGAACAAAACATTGGAAATTTTGCTTTTATATTATATGCAATTTACCTCTGTCCTTTTTATCTTAATCTGGTGTGTCATATCTGAGCTCCTAAAGGGCAGGATTTAGAAAGGCCCAGCAGCTTTGCATGCAGTCAAGTGTTCAGTTGGGGAAAATAAAAGGAGAGGGTAGTGAGGAAGAGAAAAAAACAGTAATAGGTAAAAAATATTTTCCTTAGATTTATGGCTCCTTTCCAGGCTGAGACTTTGATGAGAACCATAGCAACTTGCCCAGAGAGCAGAAGCCTTCCCTCAACCTGTTCCCAAGGTCAAACAGATAGTGGCAGCTCTAGAACACAGATCTCTTAGCCATGGAGCGTTTAAAAAATGCTCGCTCCCAAGGCTCCACTGCAGACCAGTTACATCAGAATCTCTGGGGATGTGCCTGGGCCTTGGCTGGTTTTTTTCCATAACTCCCCAGATGATTCTAATATGCAGACAGAGCTGAGAACCTCTGGGCTGTAGCATGCTGCATTCTCTATAAAGTATTTAAAAGACGTTGCCCCTTGCTTAGGGAAGACATAGTGGTTGTTTCTGTAGTTGTTTCTGTATGCCTGGATGCTGAGAGATTTTATTTGTTTCTGTTCTTTTTTAAATTTCAGATCTTTCTTACTGTAACAGCTGATCTGAACTGTAACCTGTTCTCCAAAGAGCAGAGGGCATACTTGGCCACTCTCTGCCCCAATGTCAAAAAAATGGAGGGTCACAATGGAATTGAGAAAGTGTGCGGTGACTTCCAAGATATTGAAAAAATATATCACTTCTTGAGTGAGCAGTTCCTAGAAAGTGAGCGAAAACACGAATCTTCCTCTTCAAAAACTGAAAGGAAAAAGGCACTGGGTGAGCAAGATTGGGACAGCTACATTTCTCCTTCTGAGCCGGAAACCAAGTCACAAGAAAAAAACAACTGTTTTGAAGTTCCCTTGCCTTTCTTTGAATACTTCAAATTTACCCGTCCTGATAAAATAGACTCAATAGAGAAAAGATTTGGTATAAACGTCGAAATCCAGGAGAGTTCCCCAAATATGATCTCCTTAGACTTCACCTCAGGTCAATCAGGCGACCTAGAAGCAGCTCGTGAGTCTTTTGTCAGTGAATTCCAGAAGAGCACAGAACTTCTGAAGCAAGAATGTGTCTCTTTAGCAGACAATAAGCAGGCAAATAAAATCAAACGGGAATTGAATCATCAGTATACAAAGCTCCTTATAAAGGAGAAAGGAAGAGAATTAACTCTCCTTGGGACCCAAGATGACATTTCAGCTGCCAAACAAAAAATCTCTGAAGCTCTTGTCAAGGCACCTGTGAGAATATTGACTCCCGGTTGCATGCTGAATGGAATTGAGGTTGATACTGCTTGCTATAAGGTTTTAGAAGCTGAGTTACTCCAGGAGATATCAGAGAT